TATTGGTTTAATATTCATGTAGAGTATGAGACATTAAGTGAAAGTTTTCTTAGGTACATCTGCAATTGTCGGAAGGCAAAAATAAATAAATAAATGGATGATGATGGATGAACCAGCGGTTTTTCACCGCCAACTGGAGGCGGACTAGTGTAGTAAATGTTGTTTCTTGTTAGTACTTCGCTAGCTCGCAACCTCTCACCGCCATCCGTCTGGTGATGGCCGCCCGCCCCATTGGGGGGCGGGGGGGTAATCCTTAACCCTAGTACAATTGTATTCATACAGATTTGGAAATCTGAAGTAATTTCTTTGGGGCTGAAAGACTACACAGTGTGGTGTGTACATATGCGCGTGCGTGTCAAGCATGTCAAGAAGCAAGAATCGTACGTCATCAGTGATTGTGCTATTATTACACCAGCAGCTGCAACCAGAAGTAGTTAGTCGAGCCATGTTGTCGTTTTGTCGGCGGAGGTTTAAACCGCCGAGCCTCAGGTTGGGCGTTGGCATTGGTATCATACAAATACGTACACATGCGCATGGGTGCGCCAGAGGTCTACTTGTAGTGGTGGGGCATGCGGGGTTTCAACTGAGAAAATCCAGGAACGTACAGCAGTAGACTAGTCTACTGATTTAGCCTAGAGCATGAGGCGAAGGCGATATGTCACCACGGCTGGCCGGTTCTACGTGAGATCATTAACTAACTGGTGTGTGTGGTAGTTAGCTCTCTGGGTGTCGCAAGTCTTAGGTGTAGAGGCGCCGAGATGGGCTCGATCTTGAGGTGCGAGGGTCAGATGCCCTCGAGAGACCTGCATGTGGGCGAAACAAGGCTGCCGTACACGAGTTGCACCTACCCCAGGGAAGGCTCCGACAAATGAAATTCCGACCTTCAACTATTATTTCGACCAAAAGTCGTGAGCACTGCAGCAAACTGACCGCGACCCCTTTGGTCACCATCGCCGTTCCAGGTTCCAGTTGCGACCACATCCCCACTCTGCCCCTAGGTTCCAGGGCTACATACGCGATCTATGGCGAGAGTGCATTTGCAATCGTAGTTAGTTGCCGGTGTTCGGTTGCAGAGGTGGTCGCTGCAGAGAGAGGTGCGGTAGCCGCAAGAAGTTTACGCAGCATGCATGCGGGCAGGAGGCAGGCCAGGAGGCGGGCTGCATGCACGAAGCCGTTCTTTTCATTTTCTTCTTCTTTGGACACATTCTTGAGCACTGCTGTTGGCAGCGGTCGTCGCCACCAAAATGAGTAACCTGCCCCGCGTGCTGGTGCACCACGCCCCGACTCTGTACCTAGTTATTGGAGTAGTTCCCTTCTCGCCGGTTTGTGCATGCATGAAGTATGTAGGAGCTGCTGCAAGTTGGCTGCTGTTTTAACGCGAGCGCGGAAGGTCGACTTGATGGCACATGATGACCCCGGACTGTTGGCAACACACACACACAAACCAACCCAATCTCACACCCCGGGGCGCTTGCTCGCACATGCTCCACTTCATTCTTCTTGTGGCACATTCTTGAAGATTGTGCTGTTGGCAGGGGTCGTCAGCACCAAAAACTAATTTCCTGCCCTGCGCGCTTGTGCTACACCGACGCTGAACCGAATAGGAGTAGTCTAGACTACTTCTCTGTGCTGTTCTACAACACTGCTAGAACAGAGTGCGGCTACGCTAATGTAAGGTATCTACAAAGTTGGCCATCAGCGTACTACTGCTGTAGTCGTGGCGTCGTTTCCACCACATGCAGCATCGATCATCACGATTTATCTGCAAGTACGCATAAGTGAATATATGCATAGACTACTACCGGTTGCTGTAGCTCAAGTTCGCTGCTGCAAAAAAGCGAGCGCGAAGGCTGCCTTGATGGCACATAGACTGATGATCCAGGACTGTTGGAAACACACAACTCCACCCCGGCGCGCTTGCTTGCGCATGCTCTGCCACCACATTTACTACAGGCTCTCCCTGCCTAGACAACAACAACGATGAATCCGCATCAACGCGCATCGGCGATGATCCGCATCACCATAGTCATCGCCGGCATGATGATTTCCGTCGGTGGTCCTCAGGTTGTTGCCGCTCAGCAAGACTTCGACGCATCCAGCTACGCTCGGAACGTCTCTCTGGATCCCAACGTGGATGTTTTCTGGACCGTGGACGCCAACCTCGGGACAATCAAGGCGATCGTTCACGCCAAGGCGGCCACGGGCTGGGCGGGCCTCGGGGTTTCCGAGATGGGCGGCATGGAGGGGGGGGACATCGTTTATTACGAGACCGGGGTGAGAGGTAGACAGACGCAGTTCACGGGAAGCGGGGAAGCAGGACTCTGTACGGAGAAGATCGTCCTCACGGATATCCAATCTCACCGCTCCGTGGCTTTTCCCCCACGGATAAGCCGCACCGCTCCGTTCCGTGACATTCAAGAAATCAACAATACCAGGGTACACCTTGGTACTGGTCCTTTAGGCGGATACAGGCGGGGCCGTATTTCAATGTGGCGGTACTCTTTTCGGCGGATCCCGGTACTTCGTTTTCCAGCGGTACCGCCTTTGGCGAGTCCCGGTCCTGCCAATAACGGCGGTATTTTTCTGGCGGTGCTGAAATATGACGGTACCGCCTTCGGCGGTTCCCGGTTCTGCTAAATATGGCGTAATGTTTCTGGTAGTACGGAAATATGGCGGTACCACCAATATATGGTTGTTACCTGGCGGTACTGAAATATTGCGGTATCGCCCGGCGAACGTATTTTCTCTCATTACGGCGTGGGTCTTCTTTAATGTGTACCAGAGCGTATCATTCCCCTATCATTTCGTGATTTCACGATACTGCTGTGCATACCCATCGTCAAATTGAGCAGCCTCAAGGACAAACGAAAGGCAACAAAAAGAAGAGAAAACGTGCGATAAGTAAGAGGTGTGCTGAAATGCGATCCGTCGAATGCCACGGGAAACAGAAGCATAAGCTATTGTAGGACGGCAACAGATTGAAGTAAACACTCGCCACGGGCATTCGTGATAGCGTCTAAAACGCTGATAACATCAATCGATCGGCTACTCCTCTCACCCTGCATAGCCCAGACTGACGATTTTGGCGGTACTGCAGCACGGCGGTACTTTTTCGGCGGTACTGCAACGTGGCGGTTGTTGTTGGGCGGTTCCCGGTTCTCCGTTTTTTGGTGGTATGTTTTTGGCCGTCACGCAATATGGCGGTACGTTTTTATAGGCTGAAGGCGGTACTTCGTTTTTCGGCGATACCGCCTTCGGTGGTTCCCGGTACCACCGAAATGTGGCGGTAATTGCCACTACGGCGGGAGAGAACCCCGGGAATTTTCCCGGAGTGTACTTTAAACGGGGTGAAGCCGTGGGCGGTAGCTTGCTCCTAGAGATAGATGAAGGTTCTGTCGTTGACACGCTTGTCCACGACCACGTTGAGATGGGAAAGTTGCTTGTTATTGCTGAGAGACGATCCGCAAGGGTCTGAGATGAAGTGGGGATCCAGCTTCATCTCAGGGGGTACACAGAGTAGACCATTTTAAGGGGGTAGGGGTCAGAAGGGTAATTGTGTCAACGACAGAACCTTCATTTTGTTCGTTGCGTTCGAAATTGCATTAAGTGGTCGTACCCCCCCACGCTTGAACAGGGGGGGGGGG